CCGTGAGATCATGACCTGAGCCGAAGTCAGATGCTTAACCAACTCTTCCACCCAGGCACCCCAAAACATTTTTTTTCTGATCCAGTAATTTATTTCTATGAAAAGCCTGATGGGTGAAATGAAATCGTGTTCAATTATGCATTATTTGAAAGGCTAAAAGTACATTCTAGTTGGATGCTTCTGGAAAATACATCACACTTGGTCAAGCGACATAGTCTCTTTCATAGTACTTTTCCAGGAGATCCGAAGAAAACTCACCTCTTTTCTCTCTCACATGTGGCTGGCTTGTTTTCTACCCATGACTTTCTTACTTACTTGGTATTTCATCTGTGTGAGCAGAATTGGGTTTGGGTGCCGCATTCTGGACACAGGGCTCAGGATTGCCAGACCTTTCCCTCTGTGACTCAAACAGATTTTGGAATGCCATGCTCTCTGTGAAATCTTCCTTAAAGAAAGAATAGGCCGAGTTGTTCTTGGTCCTTCCAGATCTTTCCCTCCTCCCCAACCGAATCCATGTAAGGATAACACTCTTCCTGAATGTGCCCCATCGTCCCTCCACTCCAGTGTTAGTTTGCATCCATACTACGTTCTTGACCTGGAGTTACATTCTGTTTCTTCAAATCCTTGTTGCCTCTAATCGGTATTGTTCTTTTCCTTGGATCGTAACCTCACTGACGTGATCTGTATCTCATGGTGATTTGTCGATAGGTTCTGTGTATTTAGGAAGTTCACTTAAAAAAGGTCTTATTCGTAAATTCAGATGTACAGAAAAATTGGATATTCTCAAACTTGAGATATTTTTGAATCTACAGGATAGGAATATTCTCTTGCATAATCACAGGACAGTTATCGAATTTAGGACATTTAACAATAATGCATTCCTTTTATATCACCTACCATTGGTATTCCAGTTTTATCAATTGGCTCAATAGTGCCATTTATGTCATTTCCCCCCCCTCCAGTACAGGACTCAGTCTTAGAGGGTTGGGTGTTGGATAAGTTGTCCTGTCTAGTCACCTTTAATCTAGAACAAACATTTCCATAGCCTTTCTTTGTCTCTTATGACACTGACATTTCGGAAGAACACAGTGCTTTTTAATATAAAATGTTCCTCATCTTCCATTTGGCTGACATTCTCTCTCTCTTTTTTTTAAAGTTTATTTATTTATTGAGAGAGGGGGGCTGTGTGTAGGAGCAGAGAGAGAGCTAGAGAATCCCAGGCAGGCTTCTCACTCACAGCACAGAAGCCCGACATGGGGCTCGATCCCACGAACTGTGAGATCGTGACCTGAGCTGAAGTCGGACGCTTAACCCACTGAGCCACCCAGGCACCCCTGTCTGACGTTTTCTTATGATTAGATTAACCATTGTATGACCAGCAGGAATACTCTATGAGCGATGTGTTCTGCCGAGGGTATTGTTCTTGGCCCTTCCCGATCTTTCTCTCCTCCCCAACCAAGGGAGTTAATGAAGTCCACCTGCCCCTCATCGTTGATGTGCATTTCGATTACCCAGTCAGGCTGCCGTGGAGTTTCTCCACTAATGACTTTCCCCCACTTGTAACTAGTAGGAAACGTGTGGGGAGAAAATTTAAGGTCATGCAAATATCTTCCTGCTCATCAGAAGTTCTTCATGGTTTGTGATTCTTCACTGTTCTTAACTATTTCGGTGTTTCTGACTGGCTACTGTGCCCTTGTGACACATCCAGACTTTTTTCGGGTTATCACTTCTTTACTTTCTGGCATAAAGAGATGTTCCAAGCCCATCTTGTACCTCCTCTGCTTTAGCCGTGGAACCAGCCATTTTCCTGAGGAGTCTTGGTTTCTTTTTCTGGGATATGATAGGGAAGACCAAGATCTGGGTTCCAAGTATGCTGCTAATTACTACTGGGGGAACCTTCTTTCCTGGGACCACTCGCCATAGCGCTGGGGAGTATATATGCAAGTATGTATACATACACGGACTTCCATACGTGCCCACATATACATGCCAACACATGTACATAGAGATAGTTACAGATCATGAGTATACACTGATATCTAGTAGGTTGGGTGTTAATAGATTATATCGATTCCTGGGAATAAAATGACAGAAGTGTTTGCGACATGTGCGATTTTTCCATGTCGCTGTTCTTATTTAATAGCACTGCCTACAAAAATGAACAAAGGAAAAATGCTTAATAATTTGTATGCTTAAAGCCTTGGTTTTTTCCTATTTGCAGCTCGTGAGTGAAGTCGAACTTCTGTTAAACCAACAAGCAGAGCTGGCAGACGTCACCGGGAACCTAGGTCAAGTAAAACAAAAAATTAAAAAGTTGGAAAACTTAGATGAAAATTCTCAGGTAAGAGGACATCTCAGACGGTCACTATTGTAATAGTTCATTGTGATGCTTTTCAGGAGCATGAACCCTCCCGGTTCACTTTTCCTGGTAACAGTCTACGTAATGGGTTTAATAACACTGGTCTGTATTCTTTTCCAATCGACGTGGGCCAGAGGTGACCCTGCCGATGTGTCATGTAGTTGCAACGGGCAGTCTCTGAGGTCACCGTGTGAGCGGTTTCAGGCCCACCGATAGGAACAGAAGCATAAAGCATTCTGAAGAAGCCAGCAAAATGTCTCTCAGGAATGCTACTTGGAAACAATAGAAATGTACAAGAGCATAATTTCTTAAATATCCATCATGTGGTATCTGCAGTTGAACCAGATATGGATTCAGACAGATAAATGTGCTTCGTTTTACTAGCTGCATGACCCTGGGCAAAGTGATTAAATGTTCTAAGCCTCAACGTCTTCATCTATAAATTGGGGCTAAAGTGGCCTACTTTGCGGAATGATTAGGGGAGGACTGTTTTTTTTTTTTTTAGTTTTTTTTTTTAATGTTTATTTATTTTTGAGAGAGAGAGAGAGAGAGAGAGAGAGAACACGAGTCGGGGAGGGGGAGAGAGAGAGAGAGGGAGACACAGAATCCGAAGCAGGCTCCAGGCTCTGAGCTGCCAGCGCAGAGCCCCACGCGGGGCTCGAACCCATGAACTGCGAGAGCATGACCTGAGCCCAAACCGAGAGCTGGACAGTTAACCAACTGAGCCGCCTGGGCGCCCCCGCCCCCATCTTAACCATTTTTAAGTACACGGTTCGGTAGCGTTAACTATAGTCACATTGTGGTGCAACAGATTGCCAGAACTTTTTTTATCTTGCAAAACTGAAGCCGTACCCATTAAAAAAATAACTCCCTGTTATAATCCTGTATTTCCCCCCGGCTAGGTAGGCCAGTCACTTCATCGTTCCGGGCTTCAGTTCGCCTTATTTTACCTCGCCAAATATTTCCTGACCTCCTGCTCTTTCAGTTGCTAGGTCGGGAGCAAGTGGGGGACCAGGGGGCGGGGGGGCGGGATGCCAGTCGTTGGTAGAGTGGAGGCAAGGCCGCCAAGATCCCTTTGGACTTGAGAGCCCCGTGGTGTTCACTTCAGGATGTCCAGGAGGCGGGCAGGTGCTGACTCTAACGAGATTTCCAGAGCTGAGATGGCACGAAATCCGTCCGCTTTCGTTTGGCTGGTGTGTCCCTCATCTGATATATGCAGTTCTGTTCTAAATCTGTACATACCGGGAGAAGCAAATCTCGTCCACACTCTGAGCAGGCTGGTTCATTTTCTGTTTCTGTTACCAGAAACACGTGGGCTTCTGATGACGTCACTGCCGTAGCTAATTACTTGTAACCCCGAGCTTTCTGACAGCCTGCAGAAGTATGACATGCAGTCATGTTTTTGGCACTCCGTCCGCCCTGCTTAAGCCAATTTGCTTCTCAGTTGCTTTCTTTTTGCCCCCTCCTCTATTTGAACAGCGATCATGTGCTTATTTTCTTAAAATTAGGATCTGTTGGCAAAGGCCCGCTTTGTGATATTACACGGACACAGACTTGCTTCAAATCACCATTATGCACTTGATTTGATCTGCCAGAGGTGCAATGAACTCCGTTACCTTTCTGATATTTTGGTTAATGAGATTAAAGCCAAACGGATACAGCTCAGCAGGATCTTCAAAATGCATAAACTCCTGCAGCAGGTAGTGTCGTGAGACCTGATACATTTCTTAATAAGAAGACCGTTTGTTTTTGCTTTTGCGTTCTAGGGTGAGGGTCTGGTATAGCCTCGGAGTTGAATGTGCAAGGGGTGGAAGGATTGAATTTGATGATTTGAGATCACGGTTGCGATGGCTTCCTTTCTATTTTGGGTACATCTCTGCATCCTCTCCTCTGGTGATAATTTGCAGTCGGAACACTTTTCACAGCCCTAGCGGCATTTTGCTAACGCCAGAAACTCCTTCCACACTTCATAGTTACCGCAATAAGAAATTAAACAGGGACTGGAAAATACTCCTCCCTGGCTTGTGGGTCTGACCCCTTTCAGAAAGAGGCAGCGAAAGGAAGATCTGGCCTCGGAAGCGGAATGTAAACGAGGGATATCATTTACAGACATCGCATCTGAGCATGGACAGTTTAACCTGTCCCCCCTCCTTCTTTGGCAAGGAAACTTTCATCCTTGTCCTTGGCAGGTCACTACACATTTATAGGACACTATGTGTTTTGCGAGGTGTTTCATATTTCACTTACTGATTTGGGGAAAATAGCACGCAGCTGACGTGTTAGCGCTGAGAGAATGGTCAGACTCTCGCTGCAGAATGAATTCCTTGTTGTGAAAGAAAATACCGTGCTTCTCAGCCTTGGCTATGCGTGCATCAGAAATACCTGTGGAGCTCTGCAGAGCTATGAACGCCTGGCTTAGGGCCCAGAGCTACTGAATCAGAATTTCTGGGGGCTGCACCCAGGTATCTTTATTTTTTAACAGCTCTGGAAGCAACTCTGATTCACAGAGGCTGCTAAACACTCCTAAAAGGCGTACATATTTCTGTTTATTCATTCATGGTTTTGTGTGTGTGCGTGCGTGTGTGATATGCTCACCAGGCTCGTCAGTGCTGTGATGAAGGAGAATGCCTTCTAGCTAACCAAGAAGTAGAGAAGTTTCAGTCTAAAGAAGATGCTCAGAAAGCCCTCCAAGACATTGAAAATTTTCTTGAAATGGCTCTGCCCTTTATCAATTACGATCCTGATACCCTACAGTATGAATTTGATGTAATTTTATCACCCGAGCTTAAGGTAGGAGGCTATTTTGATTTTTTTTTTCCCCAAATAAACGCATTTTTTAAAAACTATGATTCCAGTCAAGTTCACAGCTAACTTTATTCAAATTGTAGTTACACGGCTCTCTGAAGGAGGAGGGGTGGTATTAGTCCCACGGGTAAGCATCAAAGAATCCAAAGGCTTGGGGAGCCTGGCTGGCTAGGTCAGAAGAGCATGTGACTCTTGATCTTGGGGTCACGACTTTGAGCCCCATGTTGGGCGCAGAGATTACTTTAAATAAATAAACAAACAAACTTTAAAAAAAGGAAAGAATCCAAAGGCTTATGCTTGGCTGTGTAATGAGGAGTGACGAGTGAGGAGCTCTCACGTGCCATTGCTTTGTGCGTCCTTGGAGACGGGGCCAATGCTGTCCTAGGAGAACACTGGGTCCGTGTCGAGAGCATTCTACGGCAAATGTCTTGTCTTTCTGCTGCCGTGACCACCACCGGTGCTCTGTGGACACAGATCTGGCTCTCCTACTCAGCTTCTTGGGGAGGGGGTGCCAACAGATGTTGGTATTAATGAGGCAGGGACCTGTGGATTAGCTCGGTGCCCCCCTGTTGGAGATGTCGTGAAGCCCTCTCACCACACTGTAGCTCAGAGCTTTTGTGATGCTATTTGTGGCCAGACTGTATAGTCGACCCCCTTTTTTTTTTTTATCTTTTTTTAATTAAAAGAAAATTTTTTTAACTTCTTAAAGCTTAACTATTTACTTTTGAGAGCTAGCAAGTGAGCACGAGCAGGACAGGGGCAGAGAAAGAGGGAGAGAAATCCCAAGCAGGCTCCGTGCCGTCAGCGCAGAGCCCAGCGTAGGACTCGATCTCACGAGCTGTGAGATCACGACCTGAGCTGAGATCAAGAGTCGGACGCTTAACTGAGCCACCCCGGCGCCCCTGCGTAGTTGACTCTTAATTGGAACAGTATCTAAAACCGTGCTTAGCTGCACATCTTAGGGGATGCCCCAGAAAATCAGAAACGTGCCTATAGCAATAACCAAGTGATTTCTCTGGAAGCCACCAAGCGAAACCAACTGCCTCAGATCATCGAGGAGAGTCAAGGAGGAGCTTTTTACAACACAGAGAGCTATAGAATGTCCCGCGGGCTACAACATAACAAACTTCTAAGACAGTGCTTACCTTGGTGGCTTTGTTGTGCTTAAACATGCCTTCTTTTCCAGCCGTTGCTTTGTTCCAGCCATGAAGGGTAAAGCACTTTATACAGTGACCGATTTCATGACTGCTTGATAAATTTCTTTGTTTTATTATTCTTTTTTTTAAATAATTTTTTAAAGTTTGTTTACTTATTTTGAGAGAGAGAGCGGGGGAGGGGCAGAGAGAGAAACAGAGAGAGAGAATCCCAAGCAGGCTCCGTGCTGCCAGCACGGAGCCTCACATGGAGCTCGAACTCACGAACCATGAGATCATGACCTGAGCTGAGATCAAGAGTCGGGTGTTTAACCGACTGAGCCACCCAGGAGCCCCAGTAAATTGCTTTTTCAAGTTGTTTTGGTTGAGAGCTTCGGGTTTTATAACCATGTGAAGACATTGCATTCATCTGTTTTCTGTTACTTTCCTCATTTTTTCTAGTTACATTTTAAACTAGTCTAAATTAATTTTTTGACTGAGTCTGAGAAATGTAATAAGATTTGTAATGAGCCCAGTTCAGAAAACACTTCATAGAATTCTTACGCGACCTGTAGGTGCAAATGCAGACAGTGCAACTCAAGCTTGAAAACATTCGGAGTATATTTGAGAACCAACAAGCTGGGTTCAGGAACCTGACGGACAAGCGTGTGAAGCCAATCCAGTTTGTGGTACCTGCTTCTGACAGTTTGATCAGATCCGGAGTACCCTTTTTGTCACCGAAACATGGTAAGGTATCTTGCATTCACTTTTTTAATCTCTTCCTTTCCTGCTGTCGTTTGTTACTCTTGATGTAAACACTGAGTTCGTTCTTCAATCCTGATAGATGGAGATTTTATGTAAGCATCTTTGGTCACGTTTAAACTCTGTTGCACAGGGCAGGAGTCACGGCTGAGAGGATCATACGACAGTAAAGCATAGGAATACAGCGTAGTAGGGCCTGATGAAAATGTGGACTGAATAGTCCAACCTTGCAATGAGCATGAACGTTTTACCAGCATCAAACTCACCCCTTTCTTGAGCAGGCGGAGGAAAGGATATGGATCTTGTCTACACACGCAAGCGTGTGCACGCGCTCACACATATTTACTACTTAAATGGATAAACTATTACTTGGTTCTTATTCGCTTCTAGTAAGTGAATGGCTCAGATAACAGAATGGATTGCCTTTTCTAAGTAAGTGCAGATAAATAGAATGATTCTGCTAGAAACGAACTGTTAGAGTCCGTTCTCTTGTTTTAATATTTGTACACGAGTTTTAACCATGTAATATCCATTGCCTTTCTGCATTCTGTGGGATAAGATAATTATCGTGACGGTGGTGTTGAACTAATCTGGAAGTGAGATGATTCGATTGCCCAAAGCTGCCCTTGTGCGACCTCTGGGGAGAATAATTTGGCCTTTGGGTCCCTAAGTTAGTTGAATGGGTGAACATGGGACTAAATTCGGTCTGTCTAATCTGAGAGGATCACAGATTTCATTAATATATGTACGAAATGCTTTGAAATGCAGAGAAAGCTTGAAGGAGTATAAAAACCCAGGGCAGTCCCAGCATGGATCATCTGAGAAAGAGGTGATGTAGGCATGTAACTAAGCTAAGATGATGAAGGCTATGTAGCTAATGGTTATTAAATATAAAAATATACTCACAAATGAATAATGTCGACTAAGAAGATACTGGGCAAAAAAACAGAACAAAAAAACCAAACCCCCCCCCCCCAAAACCAATAAGGGCATAAGCATCTACCGCTAGGAGAATAAAAATAGAATATGTTGATATTCCTTAGCAGAAGACAGACCTCAGTTAGACTTCGGGCTCTGTTTCCTGGCTGTGTGACCTCGGGCCGTTCACTGAACGTTCTTCAGCCTCAGTTTCCTTGTATGTAAAACGGGAACAATAACGCCTGCTGCCTTCAAAGGGTTGCAACGAGACAATCTCTTCCATTCTGTTTTATTTATTTTTTCTTTCTGATATTCTCATTTAATGCCATTACACTTTTTTTTTTTTGTCCTGCAGTGGGAGTTGGATACTCTTTCTTTCAAGCATGTAAACTTTTTTCAAAAGGTACTCATCTTTATTACTTCGGTCCATTTTCTGAGTTTGTGCACACGTGAAAAACCAGTTTGACGTCTAAAGCCAGCAGCAATTTATTCTTGAATGTTGCCTGCAATTAACTTTCTCCCGTTTTTCATAACACGCATCCGTTATTCTCTTAGCATTCAACTTACCTGGGAAAACGACTGTATGAAAAGTAGATGATGCCTCTAAACTCCCATTTCATCGAATGACCGCTCGTAAAAAGAAACCAGGGAAACCAATTGGCGATGTTAAATCAAGGTTTCTTTCATTTTAGCGACTCGGGTGTCATCCACAGTACAGCTATCTATTGGGAGCAGCTTAGATTGGCTTCAACTTAAGACTGCCTCATGTATTTATGAGGAAGAAGGCAGCTTACCGAATAAATGATATGGATGGATAAGTGATTTTACCCATTATTTATCATGGTTTCGAAATGAAATCAAAGCATTATTTACGTTGCAGGCATTGCTACGCCAAACATACAAGATTTGGTCCAATCAAGTTGTGTTCGTTTTTCATACGGTGCGTCAAACTGGTTTTTTGGGGGGGTTTGATTTTGTTTATTTTTATTAATTTGCGTCAGACAGGATCCCATACCTAGCGCAGTGCTGGCACCTAGCAGGATGCAATAAGTGTTTGTTGAATTAACGATTTACTACAAAGGGTACAAGTTAGCGAAGAACATTGTGAGGGGTGACATGTGGTTTGAGCTGCAAAACCTGTAGCTCTAGTCTACACGCTTCGGACGTGGCATTTACAATTCGCCTCCTTGAATTTCCTATAGGCAAGTCAGATTCCACATGCAAACCTTCTTTCCAACCCCACTGTTAGCCCTCACTGCCGCGTCCTTAATCCCAGCTAACATCTGTTGCCTTGACAACCGCAGCTGTCTCCCGGCCTCCCCAGATGCCCCTACCTGTCTTGCCTGTTGGATTTTACAATACTCTTCTCTCTCTGGGATGCTAGTCGCTTCCCTCTCCCTTTCCCCTTTGCTAGCTCCTCTTCTTCCAGCAGATTTCCTGTCTCTAGTCCATTCTCTTCAGGTAAGCTTTTCTTTCCTGCCTTTCTTCCCCCCCCCCCCGCCCCACGCCCAGTTCACTTAGGTGTTCATGCTGTGGGCTAACAACCCCCCACTTTGGGTCTTCACAGCTTTTGTGTAATTGCCTCTTTTCGGTCTCTCTTGTCAGCCTGTAAACTCTGTAAGGACAGGGACCGTTCTCAGTTCACGTTTGCATCCCCAGCACCAAACACAGAACCTAGCACGTACCCTAGGTGCTCCATAATTTTAGGGATACAGTAAAGCCTCGGATCGCGAGTGACTTAGTCCGCAAGTGTTCTGCCGGACGAGCAAACATTTCCCGTAAATTTTACCTTTGTGCACGAGCGATGTCCTCCGTTACGAGGAGTACGTGACGCCGACCGCGGCGTGACAGCTGAGCCAGTGGTTCTTGACATTCGCTCTGATAGATGAATGCTTTGGGTGACAAGCATGTTTCTGGAACGAATCATGCTCGCGAGCCAAGGTATTACCGTACGTTTACGTTGTTGCGAGAATGAACTTGTCTACCTTGCTTTTCAGAAAAAAGGATGCATTCCTCATGAGTTTTGTGTATATTCCTTTTTCATCTCTTAGTGCAGTTGCAAGGAATCAATTAGTAAAGCTAATTAGAGAGGCTCCCTAAGTTACCTTTATAAATAAGTTCGGATCTCTGTGGATCAGGTGTCTTTTAAATGGTAGACATCAGTGTTCATGGAGAAATTGATTTTATGTGGTAAGTGCCACTACGTCTAACTTATATATTGATATAGCTGATGTTATAAATGTAAAACTTGTATATGAAAAATACATATTTAAAAAATTTTTTTTGAGTATAGTTGACACACAATGTTACTTTAGTTTCAGCCATACAGCACAGTCATTGTACATCTGTATATATTTTAAGTAGGCTCCCTGCTCAACGTGGGGCTTGAACACACAACCATGAGATCACAAGTCACATGCTCTACTAGCTGAGCCAGCCAGGCGCCCCTAAAATATATTTTTAAATAATGAAAGCGAAGTATAAAATTTGGAGAACAAAACAGCACGGCCTTTCCCCGAGGTTGCCTTGCAGTGGTTTCTGCCGAGGAGGAAAGGACAAAAAGTATCTTCCATAGAGAGAAGAGATCCATGAAGCCTGTGTGGGTGGCAGCCTTTTTAGCTGCAAATAACAACCTAGTCTTGCACTTGGACCATGCCCTGGGCTTTGTAGGGACGTTTGGACTCCTTGCTTAATAATATAGGGGCTTACCCATCATAAACAGAACAGAAAGAAAAGGAGGGGGGAGCCTGGCTGGCTCAGTTGGAAGAGCATACGACCCTTGATCTCTGCTCGTAAGTTTGAGCCCCACGGTGGGTGTAGAGATTACTAAAAACGAAGAAATGAACTTAAAAAAAAATACAGATGACTTTCCTTTCAACGTGTTTAAAAAGAGGACAGAGGAGAGATTAAACAGGAAGAGCAGAAAGATTAAAGCTCAGATTTTGACAAAGTTGTGTTGTTTTAGCATCTTACCGTGCTTCAGAATTGTTGTTTTATGTAGCTGTTAGAAACATATATTCTGACGGCGGACTATGCACATTTGAATACCACCTCTGCTTCCTGGACAAGACACTAACCATACTTATCTACAAAGTGGGGATAGAAATCGTCCCTTTCGGGTAGGGTCGATTGGAGGATTAAAGAACAAAATGGCCGTGTAGGGCTTAGAATAGTACCTGGCATGCAGTAAGTGCCAAATAAATGTTACTAACTCTTCGTGGTCACTTGGCAATCAGGGGAATGCTTGATGAGTCAGAGAATGGGTGAACACATAGCAAGATGATGCTGAAGAAGAAGTCGAAATCCTACAGATAAATCTGACCAGTCAACTGTTTTGTGTAGCGTGATTTAAAAGTACTCGTATAAATAAGTTGGAATAGTCCCATGTCTCTAATTGCTGAATAAACATTTGTGTATTTTAATTAAAAGTGTTGATTTTCATTCTGGTCTGAAATTCTTCTTTCATATTTTTCTACCAGGGAAGAAGAGTTGGAGACAAAATCAGAGCAACTTAAAAGTAAATATCATTAATTAATTCAACATTGGCTTTATTGCTGTAGTTGCAGAATCAGTGTGGAGGCTCAAACCATATTTTTAATCCACTAAACCAATATTGTGTGCTCAAAAGCCTCTTTAATCTAAAAGAAAAAGCTGCTACTGATGCATTGCGTCTAATTGCGGTACTGACATATCCCCAGATGTATGAGCGGTTTCTTAAGTCTTGGCTCAAGTTCAGAACTAGTTTCTGTAAAGCATCTATAAGTCCCAGCTTTTCTTTCCCCCACACCACTTCAATAAACTTAAATAAGTATTGCACCTTTCTACAAAAGATTTCTTTCATAATTGATTACATTCCCGTAAGTATGGAACACGGACAGAGGACAGGTTCTAATGGTCCATACTCGGGGCTCAAAAAACACACATCTGTTCATTTCCTGATAGAGACGAGATTCCTTCTCAGTTACCCATGATATTCTGGTACCTGCAGAGAGTAGCCTCATCATAACTGTAGGGCCCTACATTTTCCTTGTGTCTTCTTGATGGTCAGTAAGGACAAGAACATCTATCTCCAAGAGGCAGTATAGCAGTGATACGGATTATTGAGCAATTGTAGAGACTACCTGGGTTTTCATCCCAACTCCGACAATCACTGGCTGTATGATCTCGGGTAAATTCTCTCGCACTCCCGTTTCCTTATCTATAAAATGGGGATAATAGAACACCCTCATCATAGAGTTAGTGTAAAAATGAGATAATATTTGGGAAGTATTTCCAATGATGCGTGGCATACGGTAGTGTTCTAAGTGTCCCATGCCATTATTAGGCTAGAGAATGGCCTATACTGATATACCATGCCTGGTTATCACGTTGTACGGTCACGGCTTATGTTTTCAAGAAAGAAACGGACTGAATGCCAAATTCCATCATCTTACGTGTCTTACGGTTCCACGTTCCTCTCGTGACACCTTAACATTCCTCTATGTGGATCTTTTTATTTGCACATCTCAGAGAATAAATAGGCTGTGGCTCTGTACATTTTCTTGGTGAGATTTCTAGCTGGTGAACCCAGTTCCAGAAGGCACACCTTCTTCCAATTCTAGCCATTTTGCACAATCCTTAGGCACTTAAAGGTATAAAGTTACGTTTCAAAACTTTCCAACCTTGGAACAGAAACCTGTCAGGAGTCAATGATGCTTATCTATCTGATGAGTGACGTACATGGTATTTTCAGTCTTAGTGTATGAAAATGGTTAACAGTTAATACATTCAGATAGAGTAAATCAAACCATAGTCTTAAAGAGGGAGCATAATGGTGACACATCACAGGCTTGACTCTTTCATCACTTGTTAGGTATGTGACCTTGGCCCTGTTGCTATACCTCTGAGCCTCAGTTTTCCCATATGTAAAATGAGGATAAGTGTGCCGTAGCTTGGTAAATTGCTGGGGGCGGGGAATGGATACAATACATGAACAATAGATAGGAATATATAGGAAGTAGTCGACAGATGTTTGTTCCTTTCCACATGGATTTGTCATATTTTGTGGAAATGCTTTTTAGCCGCTAGATCTTGTACTTCATTTTTGGGTTCTAGTGCTACATTTACGTGGAGTTCAGAGATTTTTGCAAGCTCAAAAGTCCCGTACAGCCAGGATCCCTGGAAGATACTTCTAATGCTTCTGAAGAACAAATAGCCATCGCAGAGCTCCTGTAGTTGACTCACTGGGCCAGTCCAAGGACTGTAGAGTCTTTTTTTTTTTTTTTTTTAAATTTGAAACTAACATGACTTTTATTGATTTTTTTAATAAGAAGCTTATTGTCAAATTGGTCTCCATACAACACCCAGTGCCCATCCCCACAGGTGCCCTCCACCATGCCCATCACCCACTTTCCCCTTCCTCCCAGCCCCCATCAACCCTCAGTTTATTCTCAGTTTCTGTGGTTTGCCTCCCTCCCTCTCTAATGTTTTTTTTTTTTTTTTTTT